TGCAGGTTTAAAAGATGTAGCAGAAATACCAGAAAAACAAGTGAGTACAATTATTTGTTAGCAAGTTTAGTCCCTACATAACATGTTGCAATTTATCATATGACTGAAGAACTAAAAAAAAAAAAAAAGTCTTGTATTTATAGACGCAGTATTTATTTTTTTTTCCTTAAAAAGGTACCTATCTCTTCACTGTCCAAAGAAGAGCTGGAGAACTTAATTCTGAAGTTGAAAAAAGCAAGTACTGGTGAGCTTACTTAATACTGAGAATAAGATATTTTAAGTGGAATTGATGAAATAATGAATTGATATTTTTGTTGTTAAATATCTGTGAAATTGTGAGATATTTGGCACTAAACAGATATGAAATAATTATCAGCAAGATGCAGGCAGTCCTCCAAAACTAAATTTTACTCAGAAGAATAAACTAGATTGCGAGAATGATAAAACACTGCTCTTAAGTTCATATAGCTTATTTCCCTTCCCAGCTCTGTTATAAACATACAATGGTAGATTTAGGCTTCAAACAGGCTATTTTGTTAGCTCTACAAATTGAGCTCATGTCTGACTATTGCAATGTATGTGTGACAAGACCAGAAACTCTTAGGTTTCCAGTTTTCAGGAGTTTTGCATTTGCATGCAGGCCTGGAACTTTGCCTTAAGGAACAAATACTGTCCCACCAGGCTGTACAAGAAGCCTTAAATGACCCAAAGAATGGGGAATCTGCTTTCAAACACCTGAAGCAGCAGGTATGGCCACTGCTTTACTAACAGCTATGGAGATTTTTAGACATGTGGAATTCTGCTCCTGCAAATTTGAGCATCTGTGCCTGCATAATGCTAATTACTTCACAGAGAGGAAATGTGATATGCTGTATAATTTTATACTTTTCAAATAGTAGCAGGAATATAACCTTAGAAAGGCTGCTTTGTTGAGTGTTAGTAACAAATGTTTATTAGGATATTGAAATAAATTGCAAATCATGTGGTATTCTTCTGAATTTTTACTTATATATTCTTATTTTACATGAGCTCATAATAAATCTGAGCTACAAAAGGGAAAATCTTATATTTGCTCAGAAGTAAAAGGAATTTTTTACTTTTTCTGTGAAGCTGGTCCTAGATTTCCTGGTTTTGTAATGGGTGCATAAAAATAATTTGAGAGCCCAAGTTTACCTTCTGCTTTTTTAATGTATATGGAATAGGAGGAATTTCAAGGGAGGTGGATTGCATACTGTAGCAAGAAGAAAAATTAAAAACAAGCAATGTCTGTTTCCTGTACTTTCTTCCTGAGCTTTACTTTCCTATGTATTACAAAACATGTAATTGCAGCAGAGGGAGAAGGCCCTGCAGGCACTGATACTTCACAGAAAATCCAGTACAGTACCTGTATTTTGCTTGGCCACTTTGAGAATCAGCAGAGAAGGTATTATAATGCATACCTGATCCCAAAAATCCATTCCAAAAACTTCAGGGTGGAGTTCTGTGAGCAGTTGGAGAAGGGCAGGGTGATGCCAACTAGCCATATAATCCCTTTCCTCTATACACACAAGATCTTTTCCCTAATCCCTCATGGAAGGGAAGAATTGTAAAGGTCTTAGCAGTTTGGTGAAGTAATAATTTTTCTCTCAGGCATTACAATACATAGTGTATATATTTGCTTGGTTTGTAAATAATGTGTTGATGTTTGTAGGCTTCTATTTTAGGTCATATGGAAAAATTACATTTACTTGGTCCAGGAAGATGTTTTGTTGAGTTTGGAGCTGGGCGAGGAAAGCTGTCTCACTGGGTTGATGCTGCATTACAGAACGTTGAAAACGTTCAGTTTTTGCTTGTGGAAAGGGCAACAACAAGATTCAAGGTAAGAGAGGATATTGTCACATTAACAGAGTATAACTTTTTAAACTGTTGTTACTGAAGCTGTTTGTATTTGCTTTTTATCTTCAAAAATAACATAAAGCCTTTCAATTTTTAAAGTTTTGGAAGTGTGATTGCTTACGTTTCACACTTCCCAAATGAAAAAATTATCAGGAAAAAATCCTGATGTCTGATGTTGGAAATGTGCAGGTGTTGACTTGACAGGAAGACAGTTTTACATTATAACCTGAAGCAGAATAATAAGCCCTACTTGATGATCTTGTTCTCTTTACACAGGTGGATGGAAAACATAAAAGGAAAGATTCTGCATTTGAACGGCTTCAAGTTGATATTCAACATTTATGTTTAAGTAAGTTCCTTCTTGGCTGGTGTAATTCTGAAACAGAAGCTTAATTTTAGATTTTCAATTCTGGAGTCAAGTCGATTTGTATGTAGCATGCCTAAATGTTCTTGGTTTTGAAGATTATTCTCTGTGGTTGCTTGGACATGTTAATGTGTGTATATACATACATATACACATATATACATTAAATAGTGATTTAAAATTTTCTGGGGTTTACACACTTACAGGACATCATTATAGGTGAGAAGTACCAAAACAAAACCATTTTGAAGGTTTTTTAGAATTTTCAGGATTAAACAGCTTTGCATTGTCTGTTTTAGGTGTGCAGAATGAAGCAAGTCATGCATATCACTGACGTGTGTGTATCAATACTACAAAATTTGTGGAAACACCTGTCATCAGGGGATGCCTTCATGTCTTATTTATGTTTCATAAGCAGTATAGAAAGGCTGATATGGTTAAATATGCTTCTCAGCCACAAATTAAGATTATTTTTCTAAAACAAATTAAGAGAAAGTTGAACTTCCCTTTAATAGCTTATAACTGTATTTACAGATCACTATTTTTAGTAGCGATAAACGTATTATTTTTTTTAAGTGTGCTGTATTATTATAGCAGAGGTTCTAGGATCGTGTGTGGTTTTCAGTGATGTTTTGGGTTTTTTTCCTCCAGATAAGGTACCTATTTTAGAGAAGAAAAATCTACCAGTGGTAGGATTTGGGAAACATTTGTGTGGTGCTGCAACAGGTATGAATTGTTCATGTGTTAACTGCAGAAAGTTAGGATACTAAACCTTACAATCTGAATGGACTGTCCTTTTAAGCTTTTCTTGCCCTCTCACCCTTTATTGGTGAAAGCAGCAATTATCTTCTAAACATCTGTTGACTTGAGTGGAATAGGTGCAGGGCTACTTTAGACAGAAGTAAAACATTTCTTGTTTTCTATAGAGTAGAACAAATTGAAAGTATCTGTTTTAGCACTGTAGCCTCTACTCTAAAATGATTATTTTTTTCTAAATTTGTACTGGCATCTGAATATGCATCCCAAGCAAACAAAAGAGAAGAGTTTCTGTCCTGATAATTTTCAGTGAATACACTTTTTCTAATGTCTATGGTGTACAGAAAGACATCTCAAATACGACAACTATATTGGTACTGTTATAAAGATGATACAGTTAAGCATTTAAAAAGTAAATGTACATATTAAATAAATTATGTCCTAGATACCAAACCTTCAGAGCAAATACTTGCATATTTTACATCAATATGATGATATCCTCCTTCAATATGCCAATTCACTAACCAAATCATTTCAGATTATTTCAGATTCACTTATGTAGAAGAAAAGACCTTAGTAGCTCCAGAGGTCTCAAAATACTCATTTAGCATTTAGGGTTTTCATGTTGTCAAAGCATGCTTATAGCTTTAGTTACACTTGACATATGTTTTTGGCTTATTTTGTGATGTATACTTCTGTTATTCTTTCTGGGAAGTACATTCCCAACCATGATGCACCCTTACGAATAATGCCATGGTGTTAATCACTAGATTTTGTGAGGGGTATATTTGTTTTTTTCCCAGATCTTGCTTTGAGATGTCTGGTTGAAAGTTACACAACTTGCTGTAATGGAGAAAATGAAGAGCCTGCACCAAAACGCTCTAGGAATGATAAGACAGAGGTGGCTTCTAACAATTCTTCTGATAATGAAAGCAACAAAGAAGACTGTAAGCCTGTAGCTGGAATTGTTATTGCACTGTGCTGCCATCACAAGTGTGACTGGACACATTATGTAGGCAGAGAGTTTTTTAAATCAGTAGGACTTGGACCAATAGAATTTAATTATTTTCAGAGAATGAGTAGCTGGGCTACTTGTGGCATGAGAGAAACCACAAGCAAAGCTTCTGCAAGTCAAGAAAGTGAAGATCAAACTAATGACATAGAAGATCACGAGCAAACATTCAGCAAAACAGAGAGTGGTTCTGATACTTTACAAGGGTATGTAATTATTTTTTAGCAAATGGGTTCCTGCAGATAAGCAACATTATCTATAGTGTTATATAAAACTGTTCTAGGTCCTCAAAATGACTCATTTTACAGAAACATTTTAATTACTAAATGTATATAAATCTACTTTCAAAATACAGTTTTCATGGACATACGTTTCAAAACATTTAAACAGTCATGCTTGCCTGAACTGAAATGAATTTAGTGTTTTCAGTAGTTTTTCTAAGCATAATCACTAACATAAATTAACAAAACTATTCTTCTGACACATTTGTTCTTTCCCTCCTTTTTATGAAACTAGGGTACTTACTGTTGAAGAACGAAAAGAGATAGGTTGCCTCTGTAAACTGCTGATTGATCACGGAAGGATTGAATATTTACAACAACAAGGATACAAGGCTGCACTCCAGTATTATACAGAGTCTGCTGTGTCCTTGGAGAATGTCCTGTTGACAGCTGTCCCAAGTCCATCTTTGATACCAGAGTCAGCAACATGTCAGGAGATAGATTTGGAACTGGCAGGAAAAAACCTTTAAAATATATCTGCATTTTTAAAAAAGCTAATTCATTTATTACAATAAAACCTGTTTTAGTCTTTTCTGTATCCAGGAAAAGTCCTTATATTTCCCAGTTTCACCAGGAATTACAAATATAGAAATCAGTTCTCATCAGTGGAAAAATAAAATAATAAAATCCCTAAGAATATTTGAAACCTGTTGTAGCCTCTTTGCTAGGAAGAAGTATACTTGATATTTTCTTCCAATCGCAGTTACATTCTTTATTCATTAGCGTTTATGACAGGAGAAGGACCAGAAGTACAACTTTCCAGATTTCCTGAAAGACAGTAGGTTAAAAAAAGAGAAATTAACATACTTTATTTTCACCTTGAATTCCAGGGTAGCTTTCTATTTCCTCTTAAGTTATAGAAGTAGGCCTGGGTACTTTCATCAGCCCTTCCTGCTAGGGGAATCTGTTAGGGAAGAAAACTTACTTGTATACTGTCTTCTTATGTATTTTTGCTAATTTGATCATTCATGAAATACTGACAATAAAAAAGCTGGCTTGGCATTCTAAATCAAAAGCATTTCAGTCATTCATTTTTTAGCCCTTCGCAATATACGGAATGAACATTGTATATCGGCAGTGCATGAAGTTCTCTCTGCAAGTAACAGCTGCCACCTGCACATCTGTTGAGAAGTGCTTATTTTGGTCTGTTACTGCAAGCTCTAAGCTGTTAACTTTAAGAGTACTTACAGCATTTTTTGCCACAGTGATTTAGAAATGGGATGGAATTGTTGGTGTGTTTTGTTTAGGTGACTGGATTTTCTGTCAGGGAAAGCAAGCTGGGAGAAAGAGACAGGCATTAACTTCCAGTTACTCATGCACATTTATACTGATGTTCCATGGGTTCAGTATGTTCCCATTAGAAAATATTTGCGTGAAGACCTGCTGTGCCACCTCCCAGTAACAGTGCCCCTGTCCTCGTTGAAAGTCTGTTTACAGATTTTTTTTAAAATCTCACTTATTACGATTAATCATATTTCATTTGCCTACAAGTTCTAGCTTTGTTTTACACAGCATACACTTCCCTTTATTTCTATATTCCAGAGAGATCAGAATTAATAAAAAAACCACACCTGATTTCTTGAGTGACTCCTGGATATATACGTGCATGAATTCAATGCCGAACATTTCCTGTTGCTCCTCCTCTTCTGTATTCTCACATGGAGGGAGTGTTACCTCTAACTCCAAGGGGTTGCCTCTGAAGTTGACAAATCTGACAATTCACCAGAAAAGATTACTCTTGCAATAGGTCTTGTCCAGAGAGAATAACTCTTTTGAAACTATAATGACATTTCTCAAACAGTATTTTAAGCAAAATAAAATGTCTTCAGCTAAACACCACTATGTTAGTAATAAGCTAAGAAGATGCCTTATAATAACAGTAGCTGATAATGGTGGAAGAAAACATTGCAGCTCTCATAATTTAATCTGTCAGCCTTACTGAAAATCCACAAACAGATGAGTGGATGCAAACAAGGTACAAATGCCTGCCTGCCTCCCCCCAGCTTTGCAAGGTAAAGCCACCCCTTTCTTCCTCTGCTCTTGGTCCATCCCTGGGCCTATGCTCATACATATTTGTTTAATGAGGTGCTGATTCTCCTGAAACATCCCAAAATGGGAGTTGTTGTACTGGGTTAGACATGATTGATTTAGACTAGCGTTCCTTCTCTAAAATGGCCAGCATCCAGTAACTCAAATGAAAGTTTCTGTCACAGGATAGAAAATAATTTCTCATTCTACCAATTAAAATTTTATATTAATTCTTTTTTGTTTTTCCAAATCAAGTACAGGAGAGTTTAATCCATACCCTTGTACCTAATCCTTTTTCTTTAATTCCAAATGCTTGACTTCAGGGTTTACTTTTTCTCATTTTTATGCTTGTCACACATTTTTCCTCCAGGCTTTTTGCTTTAGAGAACAATATAAAAGGCCAATTAGAATTGGGCATTTGCACCTTTTGGAAATGAGAAAATGTATTACAATCTCCTTTTTCAATTGGGACTGTAACTATATAGCTTACTTATTCAAATAAGCACAATAAATAAGTGTATTACACACAGCTTTCTTGACCAGATCGTCAGCTGTTGTGGATCTGTGTAATTATGCTGATTTATATGCTTTTGTGTCCATCTGTACAACAGTGAACGTGCCTTTCTTTTCCACTTCCTTAGTATTTCCCTGATGCACAACTCAAGGGAGGCTTTAAAGCTCATCTTCTAATATTTATATTTCTGTTGCTTTTTCTTACCTCAGATTTGTCATATCCTTCATACAAGCTGGAATATCCTTAATTTTGTTATTGCTAAGGACAAGAGTACTAAGATTTTTCATATTAGTAATGGTTTCTGGCAAAGAGGTTATCTCATTTCTTTGGAGCCATAAAGTGTGGAGATTTTCCATTCTGTAAAACAGGCATTTGCACAATGAATCAGTATGTAGAAAATCTATCTTATCAATCATTAATATAAAGTAATAAATTGATTATTTTTTACAGCCACATAAAGGGGTCTCAAAAAGAAGGAAAGGAAACCCCATATCCTAGGTAATCACCCAACATCTGGTCAAAAATGTCACTGGCAAAAAATATTTGATAGTTGATACTAAATTTAGGGTTTATTGAATGGATTACTTCAGCTTATCCAACATATCATATTAAAGGCTGATAAATCTTAAGCTTGCAGTGAGGTTAACATTAAAATAATATTTTTAAGTAGGATTTAATAAATAGAATGTAAATACAATGGTACTGAGACTAAGATGTGAGCTTTGAGTTTTATTTACCTGTCAATTTCTTCAGGAAGCTCCTGGAGTTTATTTCCCCCCATATCTAACCATTCTAGATTTGGCATGTTGAGAAGAGCTGAAGGGATGGTAGTAAACTGATTCATGCTCAAATCTATGTGAGAAAGTTTCTTTAAATCACTGAGCTGAAAAGAAAAGGAGATATAATGCAAGTTTGTATAGCTGTTCCATTACAGCAGTGCTGATACAATGTTGAGTGATAAAAAGAAACAATTTAAAAACATTACAACACATTTTGGAGTTGGTTTAGTAAGCACAAAATGGTTTCTGAATTGCCATAGTTGATATTACCTAACAATTACAGTTCTCACCTGGAAGGTAGGTAGGTTTGCAACTGATGAAGCAGAACTTAATCTCCCACCCAGCAAGTACCCTAACAGCTAAGAAGCTGAATGCCACGACTACAATACAGGTATAACCCATGCCTTGAGAAGAAAAGGAGTATTAAAGACACCATTGTCCCTACTATTTCACACCCCATGCAACATGCCATTTTTCTTTAGTCAAATATTCAGATATTTATAGATCAAATTGCACAGACTATATTTTAGACTGAACCTACGTTCATGTTCCATGTTGTGAAGTCTATTACTAAGGCAAGACATTCTAAAAATTAAACAGCATAATTCAGTATTGCAACACCTAATTCCTTTGGTGAATCATGTCTTCAGGTGCTTTTATAATGTTCAAGTTACCCAAAGAAGTGTTATGGCAACTCTGGTCTAGCTGTCTAAACACAGAATGCCACTCACGTACATAGAACCAAAGCTTCACCCTGTCCCAGCAGCAGAGTCTCAGCAGGACAGAGCTATGTGTGCTATCAGCTTTTAGCAGCTATCACTCTGCAATAGAGTACATAACCTTTATTCACATAGATTTTTGTAAATTCTGGATTCTAATTAATAGTTTGTATTTTCGTTTGAAGATTTTTTTATTTGGTATTTATTTTGCAAAGCAGCTGTTGCTGTCATCTATCACCGCTACTGTTTTTTAATTAAATTATGACAAGTAAATATGTTTACATACATGTCATCTCTGTCTAAGAGACTAATACCTAGAGATGCAGGTCTCTTTCACATTTAGTCCAGTCCAAATTAAAGCTCAATAGTAGGCAAGCAATTGTTCTTACTCTCTGAATTGCATTCAGCATCTCAGAACAATATTCACTTAACTGTGCATGGGCAGTTGTGTAAATGACACAAACCCTCTTCATAGCTAACAGCTCTGGTAAAGATGCTCACAGTGGTGTCCTAGTATATGGCACCAATTTGTATTCTCAACCATAAAAGGGAACTTCTCTGTGCTAAGGCATCAGATCCTAAGTGGGGTAAATCAGTGAAGACCTTCAACCTAAACAAATAACAGCAAGTGTATCACTGTCCCATATGCATTACCAAGTTATTTATCTGGACAAAATAAAGACTGGCTCCTTCAGCCACTCAGGTATATGCATATCCCTCTCACGTGGCTTCAGTTTGAATAGTGATATAAATATTAATAACATATAATCACATATAAATATGTATTATTGTTCACATAGGTGTTTTTGTGGAGTACTTGTGAAATCAGATTATCAAAGCAAACCTGAAAACATGGGGTGCAACACTTAATAATAATTATTTATGGATAAATTAAAAATAAGCATTAATTAAACAAATTAATTAAACAAAACTAAGCAAAAAAACCCAGTTCATCAAACCTGAGGTGGAAGATCACAGATACTCCTGTTGACAGCCAGTTCCAGTCTTTCAAGACTGACACAGTTACTTATTTCCTTAGGAATAGACTTTATTCTATTGTAACTGAGAAGCAGCTCTTGGAGGCTAGTCAGCTGGCCTGCAGAGAGCACAAATGAGAAATGGTAAATGTTCATGTTCATTCTACTTGAAATACAATATTACTTGTTTTGTATTACCCTTATACTGTTACACAAGTACTCTGTGTTGTCACGGAAAAATAAATCACTTAAATTCAAAATAATAAACTGAACTCCAATTGACTGCTACAAAAAAGCCCTAAAAACTAAAGCATAGTCTACTCATGCTGTGGACTCAGAACATGAAGCCTGTTTTTCAGTATCACTTTTATAGCTGCATTGTGATGTCCAGTATCTGCTTGGCTTACAAGCTTTATTTTTTCTCACAGGGAGCTTTCATAAAGATCTATCTCCTCCACCTGGCCATCTTTTTTAATTTATGTGGAATCCATGTTTTTAAGATCTCTGTCTCAGTGTCAGATTTAAATTGTCTTGTTTTCTAACAACTCAATAGTATTGTTAGACAGGCAAAGTGAACAAAAATGGCATGATTGCATAAGACAAATTTTCTTAGAAAGCAACTTAAAATAAAAAAGAAAGCACAGCTCACCGATTTCTTTAGGTACAGTTTCAATTGAGTTCCGGGAGAGATCCAGAACAAGAAGATTGTGAAATTTTCCAATGAACTGAGGGATTTTCTGCAAACTCGTTCTGTGAAGCTGCCATTCCTGGAGATGGAGCAGTTTCAATAAACATGAAGGTAGAGTCTAAGACAAGAAATATGAACCAGAAGAAATTCAGCTTAATATACAAAAAGAACACAGCGTTAGGTAGAAGTTTTATTTGAAACATTAACAGTCTTGTTACTGAGGGTTGCTTTTTTTGTTTCTTCTTTTTTTTTTTTTTTTTTCTTTTTTAAACAAAGCAAATATAACTGAAAATTAAACAACTCTAAATAGGTTTTTTTGTATTTAAATGGTGATCTAAATTGTATTTCCAATTATTTTAGGAAACAGTGAGGAACTGAGAGCAGAGGAGCTGAGGGATAGAAAAACTACAATGTCTGTATGCTACGAGTTCTGAACAAAGAACAGTGGCCTATGGAGCACCAGAGTATTGCTGGGTGTGGCTGTCACCCTCTCACTGGCCTTAACTTGGTCTAATTCTCACCACTCTATAGGAACTGGCATCTGCATTTCACATGGCTCAGAACAGACTGTGAGCTTCCACTCTGTTATTGATTTGACAGTCAGCCATGTCCCCCCATGCATGAGAAACAAGAATATCAGTAGTCTGGGAATCTGCTGGCTTGTTTTCACTCTTAGAGAAAGTAAGCAACAGTAAGAAATATCTTAATGCATTTAAACACAGAGGGTTTTCTCATGATACATTTCAGTAGTTTTGGTGCGTTAATGTTAAATGAGGGTTTACATAATTAAACTAATAATTTCTACTGTAAGTAATTTATAATGCAGAAAAGCCTTTTGGACTGCATTTATGCAGAATAATCCTTAATACTGAAGATGAAAAAAATCAGCTTGCTTTTACACTCTCACAGCAGTGCATCTCAATTCATTGTTAACACACAGTGAGCAGCACTTCGTAGATTATAAAATAGTAAAATGGTGAGTGCAAAGTTGTAATGAGTAATTTTCTACCGCATCAGTCATTCAACCCAAGCAATGTACATTCCAATCAATACTACCTTCCATTCCTCTTCTTCTATCCTTAAAATTGCTCTTCCATCTTCATTAATAACTTTTTCCTTGAGTTTTGCTAAAGCAGCTCTCTCCTCCCAGACTAGTATCAGCCTACAAGGGAGAGAGATCTGTCAGTGGTGCAACAATGAACACAGGCAATAATTACTATAATTCTATTTTCTGGAACAAAGATACAGTAGCCTTTTTGGGTGTCAAACAACATTTATTATATCTGCATGCTAAATATACTATAAATTTGAGGGAAGACAAGAACCTAAAGTAATGTTTGGCAGATGTAATTTATAGGAATTCTATTTTATAGTACTTCAAATTTACAGTCAGAAGGAATATATAACTTCATTCATTTTCATCATGCTGCAGCAGGATAATAAAATATAAAGTCATATGGAATTAAGTTTAAAAGCCATTCATTTTGAAGCAGTCTCCTAAATAGAAAGTCTTCAGTTCCACCAAATGTAAATGCAATCAAACATGGTCAATCAGCCGAGGATTATTTTAGCTTGATTAGTTCCAAAGGGGACTTAAGAAAGAATTAGGAAAATGAGGCTAATTCTCTTTCTGCTCCTATTTTCCATTAGCAACTTTTGAACTTGTTAGTAATTTTCAAACACATCTGACATACTAGGAAGTGTTCCAAACATAGAATGCTAAATGTGTTCACATTTCATGAAATTGTTGGCCAGACAGAAGACCGAGCAATCCTGTTAATGCCTCCACTGAGAATAAAGCATAAAAAATCAAATCTCCCCTGGTGAGAATACATACACAGGAGAGAACTTCAATATCTGAAGTTAGTGGATACAGTGTATAAGCTGGTATTTTTGTCATAAAACACAATTCTTGGCTTGACCTGACCATATTGCTAGATTCTAACTGGTGGGAATTCTGCTGGAGTAATGACTAAAGAATTAGACTGTGGATGAAAATACCAATCATATAGTCTTCTGAAATGTAACTTATGGTCAACCTTTTCACATACAAAGATCTACAAATTACCTACCTTCCTGCAGACCTCTCTCTGAATTCTTTTTCTTTCCGTAATTCTTCACTGATCTTGTGTATTCTCACTTCCCAAAGTGTCTTCACAGCAGTGAAAGTTCCAAGGCAAACTGCAGTTTCAGTCATGATCCCTACATGTTCAGATCCAGTCACAGGGATCTGACTGTGAATTTCAGGCTCAATGCATCAGTGCACCTGTCAGCTACCAGATGGGGACAGTGACATGAAACTAAAGACTGAAATACCCACTTCGTCTTATTATTAAATTTAGTTAATGTACAGAACTGACAACTGAATTTTAGCAACTGCTTTCTTTAAAAAAAAATAGATAACTGCACCTAGCTACATTTTCTTAAAATAAGAAATGGTATTCCTACAATCTCTCTGCATTCTTAGTGAACAACTGCTCCTCTCAGTTTCTTCCAATGGCAGACTGAGTACTGACTATAATTATTAAATACAGATATGAGCATTCATGCCCTTCCCAGGAGAAATTAAGCTGTTACCTGCAATTCAAGGCAATTAAATCACAGTAGCTGCTTCCTGAGACCTTTGTAACTAAAGGAGTTTTGCACTTTAGAGAAATTGAACTGTCGCTGGATATAAATTAATATACTTTATTTGTATTCATTTTCTTAAATGTTTAACTCATGATAATACATTTTATAGTTAGTAATGCATTACCTTTAAGAGAAGGCTTTTTAAATTCTTCAGTTCTCTCTTTGAATCTTGTAGTTCTGCTGAGTGCCAGGATCCACATTAAAAAAAATAAAATAATTTCAGCCTAAAGTTTTGAAGTCACCTATTCTTTAGTGAGATAATTAATACCTCTTTTCTTGAAGAGCAGAGAAGTAAGATACTCAGTCATCCTAATCAGTGCACCCCTCTTAAAAGCATTCTCATTGCCATTATTGCAGTCATTTGGGAAAGGGTTTTTTTGGGAAATAAACTGCCAAGAAACTGATACTCAGATAAGCTTGGAAAGCTATACTTGGTGCCAACAGGAATGTACCCTGAACACTGATGATCTTAATGCTTTCTTTCAAGTTTCTTACTAATATTTGCAGGGAGAAGAAAGAAACACATCTTACATACCCATTCAAACACAAAAAGGGAGGATAACTTTATTCCAAACAAGCAGGTAAATAACAACAAAATGGAATTTCAGGTCTTTTCACACATGTATTTTCCTACAATTGTTGCATGTCTGTCTTTTAGAGTAATCTCTTCTGTTATATTTATTCCACTGTAAATTTGTGTGGCGTGGATAAGCCACAACAGCTTAGTGAACATTTTTGTGTTCAAGCTGTCTATCGTTCTACTTTATGTTTACTATGTCTTTTGATAACATAATTATTTGTAAAGCTTGATTATACCCAAAGCACTTAATTAAAAATGTGAAGGGCCAATAGTAAGAAATGTAAATTGTGAGGATTGCTTTCTGTTGTAAAGACAGCATTAAAATAAAATTATAATGCTTGAATAAAGAGGAATCTGGTCCAATACATTAATATTAAGGATTCTTAATATTTAAGGAAAAATGGCAGGATTTGACAGGTGAAACACAGCAACCACAGCGTGGCACAATGCAGTTTAGCATTTGGATTCCTAAAGAGGGACTGATCTTTTTTTCCTGGAAAGAGAACATTGTATACTCTT